AAAAATAAGATCATTCTATAAAATAATAGGCCTATAATCTTAAAAAGTGGTAAGATCATAAAAGTCAAGGAAAGACTGAAGATGGTTCCAGCCTCCAGGAGACTAAAAATAAAAAAAAAAAAAAAAAAGGACAATAAAATACAGCATATAATTTGAACAGAATACTTTGGCTATAAAAACATGATTGAGACAACTGGCAAATATTGAACTGGAAATGAATATTAGATGCTAGTAATATACCAATGTTAATTTCTTTGTTGCATTGTGGTTGAATAGGAGACTGTCTCCCTTTGTAGGAAATCAGACTAAAGTATTTAGAAATGATAATGGATCATGTTGGCATCTCACTTTCAAATCATTCAGAAAAAAGAAACATTTATATTGAACTGAGGAATGTTTAAAACTTTCAAAGTTTACAAAATAAATTAGATTATATCAAAATTTGAAACTGTTAAACAACAAAAAATAGTAACTGTACAAAGTTAACATGTATACATTAGAAGACAGTATTTTTACCATACAACAGAAGATATCGAAAATACATAATGGATTCTATGAATGAAAAAGAAAACAACAAACTAGAAAATGTGCAATGTATATGATAGAAATGTCATGTGATAAGCATTGTGTATGTTCATGGACAAAAAGAAAGAAAAATCTCAATGTTAAAAAACCACTCTCATTAGTAATCTAATCAAAGAAATAAAAAAATCATATGACTGATTACAATCATCAGACTGGAAAAAAAACAAAACGTCTAACAAGGAGGTGATATAACAGGACCTCCCATAAAATGGTGGTGGTAAGGTAAATGGGTAAATCAGTTTGGAGAACAATTACTAGCAAGATCAAAGACTGCATACCCTTTCTTTAATCCAGCTGATCACTTTCTAGATATAAACCCTAGCTGAACAGAATTGTCATTGCTAGGAGCTTGATAGAAAATGCAGAATCTCAGAAACAACTCAAGATCTACTCAATCAGAATCTACATTTAGCAAATCTCCATGTGATCCATACACACAGCAACATTTGAAGAGCACCACTCTTGAGAAACTTTGAATGTGAGTCCAAAGATACATGAACACTTATTGTGTCACTGTCTGCCATAGCAAACAACAGAAAGCAAACCAAATTACCCTCAGAGTATCAGTCAATATATTTATCCTAAAATAACAACCCCCAAAACTCTTAAAACAGGGTTTAAAACTTACTCACATTATACATTCTTAAGAAACAAGTTAGCAGGAAAGCTCTGTTTGTTGAAGGTACTCAAGAACTCAACCATGATTTTGAAAGTTGCCATTTGTACTTACCAAGGGAACATAAAATAACTCTGGAGAAACCTGCACTGGAAATTAAATGCTAAACTCAAAAGTAACACATCACTTCTGTTCACATTTTATCAGCCAGAAATAGTCACATAGTCCAACCTATACAAAGGAAGCCCAGGAAATATAATTCTCTTTATGGCAAAAGAAGGTTGAGCTAAAACTTATGATGAATAGCACTTATGACAACCACTGGAATTAGGAGGAAATGTGGATTATTCAAACAGTGGAGTGACTAAAATTAACATACTAGGTCTATACACATTATAACGCTCCCCCCATAAGGACAGACATTTTTGTCTATTTTGCTCATAGCTGTATCCCCAGCCCTAAGAGTAATGCCTAGCACATAGCAGATAATTCATTTTTGTTTAGTGAATGAACATCTCAAAATAGCAAAGACTGAGAATCATCTATATAAATGTTTTTTTAACACAAAGTGAAACAATATATGATCTATAGATTTTTTTAAAGAACTAGGATACACCAAATTTATGATACTTATTTCCTCAGAAGAGCAGGAAAAGAAATAAGACCAAGAAAGGGGACACAAATTGTATTTGTCTTTTTTAAAAATATGTATCTCTGTCTACATACATTTATATTTACGTTATATATATGTATACCATATGAATCAAAACTGAAAAATTGTTAATATTTCTTAATTAAGAGAAGTTGGTGCATAAGTCTTTTTTATTCTCTTCAGTTTTAGAGCTCTACTTAAAGGTATTAGGGAAATACTACTACTTTCATATCTCACAGAACAGAACTTATGGTGTTCTACCTACACTTATGTGAGCATACCCACATGGGAAAAGGAAGAAATCTGGAAGATAATTTGAAGAAACAAAAAAACTTTGATGCTTCATGCTTTAGCTTCAAAATTCTTGAGAAATTTAGAATTTTTATCCATAATATTCTTAGTCTTTTTTCAATATTAACTACATTTTAACTGCATATTTTGTTCCTCAAAACCTATATAAAATTAACATGCAAGAAAAATATACTCTGTTTACTCTACTGATTCACATACCTACCTCATATTGCAGGATGCCCCCAGGGCAGAAAGAGTGGGAACACTTACTCTACTTTGGGAGTAAAAGCCAAAAAAAAAATCACTCAGTTTCCCCTGTAATAGAACTGGAGAAAATACTACACAAGAGAATGATCCTCAGAATTTAACCTTGACCTTACCCTTTGTGGTAATTAATTTTATGTGACAACTTGGCTAGGCTATGATAACCAGACATCTGGCTAAATGTTTCTGTGAAGATATTTTTGAACAAAACTAACACTTATAATATCAGTAGAGTGTGAATAAAGAAGATTATCCCTTGTAAAGAGGATAATTCTTCTCCAATCACAGCTGAAGACCTTAGTTTTTTGTTTGTTTTTTCAAAAAGGCTGACTTCAACATAGGAAGAGAATTCTGCTAGGAGACTGCTTCTGGATTAAAGTTATAACACTAACTCTTTCCTGGAATGCTAGCTTGCCAGGTTACACTGAAGATTTTAGACTTGGTGACCTCCATAATTCTGTGAGCCAATTCCTTAAAAACAACCAAAAAAATTCCCTAAACAGACAGATAAGTGCACGCACACACACACACACACACACACACACACACAAAATATCATCTTGGGTTTTTTTTTTTTAAGGGAATCCTGACTAATAAACTCTTACACCAGAGCCAGTGACTATTTTTTTCTATGACAATACTACAATAAATCGTATTTCCTCAAACAACCATCACTAAGACAATTATATGCTTTTCCCCTAAAAGACTGGGGTTTTTATTTGGTCCTTCCTATTATTGCTTATACTCTCTCTTCAACAAAATTAGAGGTAAGGGCAGAATAGTTTCTGCTAGGTAGCAAGGGGTAAGGGGGGATAAGGGAGGGGTGGGGGGTAAGGGAGGGGCAGGGGGAAGGGAGGAAAAATGACCCAAACATTGTATGCACATATGAATAAAATTAAAATTAAAAAAAAAAGACTGGGGTTTTTAAAGATCAAACTATGAATAATATCTTTTATTAAACATAATACAGTAAGCCCACCTTATTTGCATTTATTGCATGCAGTTTTGACCAAGCACAGTCAAAGAAAATTTTTTTAAATCAGAATAAATTTCAAAAACAAAAATTTTAAACTCCCATGCACATATCATGCCACCCAGATGATGTAAAGAAGCTCTCAGTCAGTCCCACAATCATTGTGTGATCTGCTGAGTGTTTCCCTATCCTTCATTTTGTGAAAATATTCTTCCCAAAAAGCAAGGTCAAAGTTAACGTGCAAATAAGATAGAGGTTTTGGTGAGCAGTTTCAAAAAGCAATTTTTATGACAGTAATGTAGCCTTCAAGTAATAGGTGTTCAGACCTACTGTATATATAGTGTAGGTAAATTTGAGTTTTAGAGTGCTGAACTCTGTGCATCCTGAGCATTTGTGGTTTTTCCTTAACGGCAGCCTCCTTGGAACCATACACCAACAAATACCAAGGGTCTACTGTACAAGACTACTAATACATGCAAATAAATCTAGAATGAATCAGAAGATAACTAAAGGCTAAAGAAGGGTTACAGGCTTAATTGTTTTTGAAAAAGTAATGACAAACATGGGCCTAAAATAACTATTCTAAATAACAGAAATTTCAGATAATAAAAACTGTTCAATTAAAATCTTACCTTTTAGTTTTCATTTGGTCCCTCAGTTTGCTGTACATCTCTAGCACTTAAAAAAGAGAAAAGAGCAACAAGCATTATATAGAGAAAGTGAAAGACTAATTAAAACTAAAGGAAATGCATCAAGAATCCTACTCCATTTCTAGTTCCTCACCTGGAAGACACAGCATTAATTTATCAACAGTGGCAGAAATATTTCTCTGTTGTAGTCGACACTGCTTCAGCTCTTCCATTGCTATTACCAGCTTGGCAAGAGGGAAAAAAACTGAATTATGCCAATAGCTGTAAATAAAAAGCTTTCAGTCACATTTTTCCACACTGTGTTCAATTCATCAAAAAATCCCAGACAGTTTCATAGTAAAACCTGCCAAGTGGACTAAGGAACTGCCTTTACCAATCAGTAAAACATTCCTGCACAGTTTCCTACTTTCTTCCCAAGATACAGACTCTTCTAGGAAGGGCTAGGTAAAATAAAATCCTAAAATACAGGAGCTATCCAGGAGAAAAGAAAACATTTTGCATAGTTTCTCTAAATCCTATTCAGACTCTTCATGATTTATGGTTTCACCAGTCTTCTGTGAAGATCCTGTATTTCCATCATCAGCACTAGACTCCTAGAGAAAAATAGTCCTTCCTATGCAGCTCAAATGAGCATGAAAATGATCTTCTACCAGGTCTCTAATTCAACAAAATAAACCACACACCAGAAGAGGTGGCTTTACTAGGAGATGCAGTTTTGTGAAGGTAATTTACTTTTCTTCCCATAGCTCCCATTTTAAAGGATTCTATCTGAAGTCATCTCACAATATAACTAGTAATAACTGTACTCTCTGAAGAATTTAAAATACGTGACATAAAAAAGCAAAATTTACATATTCTTGTTGCATTTATCCCACAACCAGAACATAAGAATGTTATCTCCTTAGATGTCATGCAAAAAAAAAAAAAAACAAAGAAAGAGAAAGAAGGTACATGATATGGAGAACAATAATTGACTATGAATCAGAAAACTTGGAGTTCAGTCCCAGTCTGTTAATTATCATATAAACTTCAGCAAATAACCTGTTTTAGTTTCCTCATCAATGAAATAATGATAATACCTATCTGACTTGCCATTGGTATGCCATGAGGTTCAAGTAAATAAATGGATATAAAATAAAATTGCAAATTATAAAGGTTTAAATGGTGAGTACATTAATCAATAGAATAAATGATTCATTTTTAAGTAAATATTTACTGAACACCTATTATGTCAGTCATTATTTAGGTAGCTGAAAGGGATACAGTACTGCAAAAAAAACAACAAAACTTCCTGACTGTATGGAGCTTAATTTCTAATGGAGAGAGACAGACAAAAAACAACTACAAAAGTAAAAACATATATCAAGAATATGATAGGTACAGTGGAGAAAAATAAAGTGGGAAAAGGTAAAAATCAGGCAGTAAATGAGGGTGAGACTACAATTTCCAATAAGGTGGTTAGAGAAGGTCATATTAAGAAGGTAACATTTGAGGAAGACTTGAAGTAGGTAAATACTGGAGAACAAGCATTCCAGGCAGACAGAACAGCATTGCCATATTTACTACTCAGTGATTTTAAAAACATAGCTAATGAAGGCTGTATCTTCTCTCATTATACTTTGTAGTGGCTGTGTTCGTTTAATTCAGATAAACATTACAAGAAGCTCAATAACATCCTAGCGCTTCCAATATAATTCTTATAGCCTTGCAAGCCACCAAGTAAAGAACAGTCATCAAAAGAGAATGGCACAAAACAGAAAAGATTTTTTCAAAAGGTAAACTGGTCTTACTTCCTTTCCCTCATGTTGTAGTTTTCTATTAGTATCCGTCACTTGATTCTGTGGAAAGAAGACAATTTAAACTCATAAAAAACAAACATTTAGACAGTAGTTGGATAAACATCAAAATTAAATATGATAAAACTGGAGTTAGGCAGCTAGATACTTTTGGTATTCTACCACATGTCCAATGGCATTCTCTTGAATTTAAACTATTTCAATTTTCTACTAGACATTCAATTAAGAAAAATTTAATTAGAGATATACTTAGTTTGGAACATTCCAAACTAATATACTACAATAACCAAAGTCACATTTTAACTCTGGAGAAAAGGGGGAAAAGAGAAATGTAAAACAGAAAAAGTAATCCACAAAGATCTAGCTCTCTATAATGTCTAGAAGGAACAAGAGACAAATTTTATCATAAACATTTCCTAGCTCCACCAATGTATTACTCAAAGGATAGGTATGAACTCAACTTTTTAACTCAAATCAAATTTTTACTCTTTGTTTATTATCCTAATTTTAGAAACTTATATCTTAATTCTTCTTGGATCTTTAATTCTTAGCAGTTCTCAACCTTTCCATATTACCATTAATCTCTTTTTCAGATAGTCAAAAATATGTCAAAAAGTCTTCAAAAGATCTAAAGCTCATAAGTTAAAGGAACAGGCACACACTTTTACTAGCATCTACTTTTGATATCTCCATTGCTTTAAAAAAAATTAAGTATATAGAATAGTAATTTCTTCATCATTCCAGATGTTATCAAAATATGACCAATATTAACTTCTAAACTTTTTTATAGAGGCTGTCTAGCCTTCAACTAATAACAGCTACTTCTTATACTTTTACTACATTCTCCAGCCTACTATTTCCTATGATATCCCTTAAAGCATCAAGAAATATTGGTTGATGTTATTAATACATGTGTGCACGTGCACACATGTGCATACATACAATATAACATGCACATAAATGCCCAAGAAAATGGTATCACAGTGTTTTCCAAAGTTATTTAACATAACTTGCTTTTATTCAAGATCGTCTCAAGGAACTAGTTTTTCAGAAAACATACTTTTTGAAAATGTTGCTCTAAGCTATATACTATACCCAGACTACATTTTCAGAGTAGATTACCACATGCACCCTGCTTTCAAGCACAAAATGAAATCCAACCTCCTCCAGAAAACCTTTATAAAGTATCAGAGAGGCAAGAAACACTCAAATTACCACTTTATTATTTGCTTAATAGCACCACATGTGAAACACTTTGTTGTTTTATTGGACTATGAGCTCAATATGAATTAAGAGTGTGGTATAGCCGCCCAAAATGCAGGTCTAAGACTTTAATAAAAGCATTATCAAAAACAGAGATCAGCAATCTGTTTCCATAAAGGGTCAGATAGTAAATATTTTAGACTTTGCAGGCCACACAGTTTCTGCTACAGCAAGCAGGAATGCAGTCATGAACAAAATGTAAATGAGTAGGTGTGGATATGTACCAATAAAACTTTATTTATAAAAGGCAGAAGGTAAGCTGGATTTGGCCTGCAAGACAGAGCTTAGGCTCTAATTCTAGCTGTGGCCTAGGATAAGTGAGGTGGTAAGATTACGGTAAAACCAAACTACGAGAATTACATTCAGATGCCATGTTTTACAAAGGCCACTAACAATCTAAAGCATGATTCAATGTGAATAGATCCAAAGGTGGACCAAACGAAAAACAAATGAAAGAATGTTTAGCCTGGGGAGGGGATGGATAGACACACACACACACACACACACACAGAAGACTCAGATGGAGACACTAGGTATTTACTATACCTAGCCGATACAATACACACCACACTTGAACAAAGGCTGTCCTCAAATTTTGAAGAGCTAGCAGAAGATAGCTCTCTAAAAATGGAGCATATTACTCAAGTCAATAAATGGATGTTACTAGAAAAATAGGATTCAGCTCAACATAACAAAAACCTTTCAGGCAACATGAATAAAAAATATGAGTTGCCTAGAATAATAGCACTATCCCCCCTCAAAGTAGTTATTTGATAATAAATTATAATTTTTTTATCCTATACTGGAGATCTCCTAAAATTAAACCCTCCGTAAATACTACTAAATTCAGCACCATTGTTTCTACTAAAGTAGCCTAGTTTATCTTATGAACATACCATTTCTCACTTTTTTCAACTCGAACTCATTGTACAAAATGCACTTTACATTGCAACTCAGTACGTAAGTATAGGAAATACAACACACACACAGACTGAAACAATTTTCAAGAAACAATGTTTATCCTTATTACATGTAATAGACTTTTATTTCCTATTCAATTCTATTCTGTTTAATAAGCCAAGTTGATTTCATGCAAACCATGGTCCAAAACATATGCACTGGAGCCTAATCAATGTTTCTGATAAGAAAGAGTAACTATTTCCATTCTAGTACGTAACTATTCCAATACATCAAATCACATCAAATCACATCACATCACATCAAATTCTAGGAGAGTACTTCTTTTGATTCAGAAAACAAATACAGGTGTGTGTGTGTGTATATATATATATATATATATATATA